CAGACGATAGATAACTTGGTAACTAAACTAACTTGGATATGTACTACTGCATCCAAGCCTGTTTATTGTCTTCATTAACGGTTTGGATGATGGGACAGACTGTACCCTCAGCAAGTTTGCTGATGATACTGAACTGGGAGGAGTGGCTGCTGCACCAGAAGGTCATGCTGCCATCCAGAGGGATCTCAGCAGGCTGGAGAAATGGGCTGACAAGAACCTCGTGAAGTTCAACAAGAGAAAGTGCAAAGTCCTGCACCTGAGGAAGAACAACCTCATGCACCAGCATATTCTGGGGGTCGCTTAGCTGTAAAGAAGCTTGGCAAAAAAGGATCCAGGCGTCCTGGTGCACACCAGGTTGAACAGGAGCCAGCAACGTGCCCCTGTGGCAAAGGTTAATGGTACCCTGGGCAGCATTAGACAAAGTATTGCCAGCAGGTCAAGGGAGGTGATCCTTCCTCTCTGTTCAGCACTGGTGAGGCCATACTTGGAGTGGTGGGTCCAGTCCTGGGCTCCTCAGTGCAACAGAGACATAGACCTGGAGAGAGTCCAGTGAAGGGCCACAAACATGATGAAAGAACTGGAGCATCTCTCCTGTGAGGAAAAGCTGAGAGATCTGGGACTGATCAGCCTGGAGAAGAGAAGGCTCAGGGGGGAACTGATCAATGTGTATAAATACCTGAAGGGATAGTGCAGAGAAGATGGAGCCAGGCTCTTTTCAGTGGTGCTCAGTGACAAGACCAGAGGCAATGGGCACAAACTGAAACACACGAGGTTCCGTCTGAACATCAGGAAGTGATTTTTCACCGTGAGAGTGACCAAGCACTGGCACAGGTTTCCTAGGGAGATTGTGAAGTCTTCATTCTTGGAGATATTCAAAAGCCATCTGGACATGGTCCTGGGCAACCAGCTCAAGGTGACCCTGCTTGAGCAGAGGAGGGTTGGATCAAATGACCTCTGGAGGTCTCTTCCAACATCAACCATTCTGTGATTCTGTGATACAATGTTTTTGAGCATACAGTTGCTAATGCAGCTACTGGAAAAGGTCATCATACCCTTTTGCTTGAATAGTTCTGACTATTGAACTGGTTGACAAGTCAGATACTGTACAAGTATCTGTACTGTACAAGGTACAAAATGAGAACTTGGCTTTCCTAGTTGTATCATTTAGATGTTTTGTGAGAGAGTGCTTATTTTCCTCAAAGATCCCATTCGTTGGAATATAATTCTGGAAAAATTCTTTGTTAATAAAAAATTTTCTGGAGTTGAATTTTACGTTTCTTTCATTTAGAATCTAAAATAGTGATTACCTCAATCCTGGAATTGGTAAATAAAAGCTGTCTGTAAAACCTGAGCAAAATTTGAGATTGTTCCCTCATGGAGACTTTGATTTTCCAAATTGCAGCACCCAGTGGTGGATTAAAGTATTAATATTTTCCGGATAGACTCAGCTTTGGATCTTAATTCTGCTATAGAACTCCTGCCTGGCTCGTACTGCCGTAGGCATCCAGCTAGTACAGGACATCGATGTCTTAGTTGCCTGTGTGAAAATGGGGCTAGTCTTTGCAGGACTCAGAGCTATGTATGAAGTACTATGATGTTGGATGACATAATGATAGATGGATATTGAGGACTACGTTTATTGGAACAGTTTTCATATCTGGTTAAAAAATGTTTGGAGGGTCAGGATATGTTAGTGTCTTACCGAAAATGTGCTATCATGCGAACAGTGTCTTTCAAATGGGTGCAAGACTGTGGAGGGAGATGAAAAGAGAAAGTGTGCTCTTGAAAAACACAGTGATGTCTCATTGTGAGGGTCATTGAAAAAATGTAAGTCTGATTTCTACTCAAACTTCTTTAAAAAAAGTTGTTTAAAATTCTGACTGTTTATTCCTGATTAGTGACAGATGTTCCCAAAGTACTCTTAGTTTCTTCCATATTCTCTTTTCAAGGAGTAGGAACAACTTAGTTGGACACTATTCAAGTTATTTCTAAATGTTTCTAGGGAGAAATTAATGATTTCATCACAGATGTTGAGAGGAGGAGAAATAATTTAGAGTAATTAATTTTGCCTGTGTAAAATTTTCCCTTCAGATTCATTTTGATAAAACTAGCCAGTTTTAATTTCCTAATCTCAGTGTTATTTTGGTGCACATGTTTGAACAGGTGCCACGTTTCACGCAGGACATAGCTGCATTTCAGTAATTATGAGAAATTATTTGTTTGTTGTTTTAAAATGAAATTGTGAAACATTTAAACACAAGCATGGAAGACAATATAAATGGAAGTCGTCGTCTCTACTAGTTTAGCCTTGCCAAATAGATCTGCTGCTGGCAGATCCATGAAACCTTTTAAAAAGGGGGTCTATTCTGAAAAGGATGTCTCTTGATTTATTTTGTTAGTTTATGTTTTAATTCTCTAAAACTACCACTCCAAGCTGGTGGGTTTTTTTTTCCCCCGTTGGTGTCCTAAGACTAAATTTGTTCTTTAAAAAAAAAAATAATATAAATCAAAAGATATGACTATTTGTCAGCTGTGCTATTTGAGGTCAACTGTGTCAGTGATTCATACTTCCAACTCACTGTGGGCACTTGCTAGTTCTGATACATGGACTTTTACCTGCATCTTTATTCTCTCACTCCTAAAAGCTTAATTGTTAGTCCTTTTGACAAGTTAGTCAGACAGCCACGTTGCTTATAGCCACAGTGCTGTTGCTATTTCAGGGTGAGCTAGAGGATGTTTTCAGCACTACTTTAGATATATTTCATCCTTATCTCTGGAATATCAAAGTTCAGTCTTTAGTATTCTACTGCTTTAAACCATAACCCATCTATGTTTGATGCCTGTGAGAAAGAAATCTCTTGAATCCTATTTAAAGGAAGGGGGTGACGGTATGAAAAAATACTCAAAAGAAATGTACTTCCTTGCTCACAGGTAAATATTATGCAAAGAAGTCTTCAGGCATGTGTTCTTACTAAAATATTACTTCTTTTGGAAGGATCTATCAATTTCCGTTAGACCTATTGCCACCATCTCCACACTTCTTTTGAAGTTTACTCTCCACACATGGTTTCCTCTCTTTTCACTGGGGACTTGAGCAGCTTGCTCTCTCCAGTCGTGTGGTTTTGTCCTGCTTCTAGCCAGACATTTCTCATTCAGGAGCTCCTCCTTGCTTTCTCTGTTTTTTGTTTTTATAACCTTTTGTTTGTATCTTGTCTTTTTCATAGCATTTTACTCTGTTTGTCTCCAGCCAGCTGTCTCCCTTAGCTTAATTACTTGTAGTCAGGAGCAAAATTTAGTCAGAGCTCGAAGTGAGAGTGTTTTTATGATCTCAGGAGGAGGTAGCAGTATCAGCTATTCCTGGAGGTAACGTGGCAGAAGCCTAGAGGTGCCGATTCATACTTAGGCAAGATAGGACTGATAGTTGCTCCTGGCAGAGTGGCTCCCAGTGATTTTGTGTACCTGTGGATACAGTGGAGCAGGATGCTGGGCGTAATGAGGTTTAGGCTTTCCCTGTTGATAGTGAAAATAAATAAGTTAATGGTATCACATGGCCAGTGCAAGACAGCAGTTGTTCAATAAGCCTTCCATCCAGCACCTGCGAAAACTCCAGGAAAGGTAGAGCTACTGCGTTGCTGGGAGCAGTAGATTTGCTGTCTCTTTCCTCGGTGTGAGGCAGCCACTGCTGGGTGTGTGCCAGCTGGAATTCTGTGTGCAGCTGTTTGAGTAAAACAGTGGTGATATGATCATGTTCACTGATAGAAGATGGCTGTGTGGCCTGACCACTCTCTCAGAGCGCTGAGGTAAGGTGCCCAACATGTTCATTGCAAAGAATGAATAGTTCTCGTACTCATTCTAATGTTACACGTTTGGCTCAATATCTGAACATCTTTCAGTGTACCTGCCTGTAATAAAAATGCCCAAATTAGAATGTAACACTTCAAAATACAGGAAAATTCATGGTTTCTTTCCTCCCTCCCCCTAGGTGCTCATTAACAATATTTTGCTATACCTGACATTCTTCTTGTGGGCCTTTTCCAAGAACAATTCTGTAGCAGCCCATCTGTTTTATTTTATTGAATCACAGCTAATGTATGCCATGATCAGATAAAAAGACAGGAGGGGAGAAAGTTTGCTTATTTTAGTTGCATTGCCCTTGATGCTGCAATTGGGGTCAGAGAGTCTCTTTATGAAAGAGCCACAGAGCACACTTACCTAGAATAATTCTAGACTTAAGTTAGGGCAGGCAGAGAAAGGGTGGCAATCTTTACAGAAACCACAGTGTAAGCAGAGATTGGTAGTGTCTTTGGAAAAACAAGTGCTGAACAGAGTTCTCAGAAGTGATAAAGACTTTCCTTAGGGACCTGGTGAAAACAATTGCAACCCAGGAAATTTCTTCAACTTGCTGAGAACACGATTCAAAGGAAATGATGTATTGTGTGAAGAGATAGTGGGAAAGGGGAGATGCTTGTGAATGCTTATTTTGTCTCATCTGGCTGTTGCAATTTTCAGTATTTCAAAAGTTACCTTATCCTGGCTTCAGAAAACACCTAGTTCAAAAGTCTTTTGATGATGACCGCTCTAAAAGGTGCAACTAACCCCTGTTGAATTCTGAGTCTCATTCCAAGGATCCATTCTTTTAACTCAAAAATTTTGAGCCCCTTGCTCGTTCAATAGCTTGAAAATACCTATTTTAGACGAGGAGAAATGAGTTGCCTGAAGCATGGACACTATTGTAGGGCCTTTGTACACATATGCAGTTTGTGCTATGGTCGTTCTGTAGCTGATGATTTTCCTTTGCTGAAAACATTTTTACTCTAAAGCCTCTCCATAACTGGTGCCTGTGGGGACATGTAATATTTTTTGGGGAAATCTGTTTTCTAAGGAAGACATTTTATGTTTACAAAGGCATTCATGCAGTGCCTTTAATGATGTTTGTTGGCATAATCATGTCGGCATTGCTGTCATCTAATTTCTTATTGCTTTAATAATTCTCTCTTCAGATTCACACTTCTCTAATTAATGGACGGCCTAGTGCTGATGATCCTTCACGGGTATTGCTAGAATTCACCTCTGCTCGCTTTATTCGCCTGAGATTTCAGAGGATACGGACACTAAATGCTGATCTAATGATGTTTGCACACAAAGATCCGAATGAAATTGATCCCATTGTTACACGGAGGGTAAGTTCTGGCAGGACAGTAGAAACGTGTGTGTAGAAGTTCTCTTACACTGGTAAATGCTGTATCTGCCTTTGTTTGCCATAGGACATTTTGGGAGATGATGAATACCTGTTATCTGTCAAAATCCTGGTGTTAGACAATTCTCTCTTCACAGTATTTTGTTACCTTCTCTATAGGAGAAGTAACAATTTTGTCTTTTCTGCTTAATGGTGCTATTAACATGCATAAAATGGTGATTAACAGAAGCACACAGCTCGTTTGGCTGCAAACATTCCGATGCAGGTAATTGGCAACTGGTTGCTGTTAGATAATCCTCTCTTGCCTCTTCTGCTGCTCAATCCTTTGCTACCTTTAACATTCTTTGAACACTTACTTTGAGTAGAATTTCTACTAGTGGTACTGTAAGTAGTAGTAGGGCCTGAATGCAATGCTTTTAGCACTATTATAGGATTGTTGCTAGTAGTAAAATTTTTACGTTGTGCTTTAGCTTGAAAGAATGGATGCAGCCCTCATACTCACACCATACCTTAGTCTTCTCTGTTCTTTGTGTGTGCACACTCCCCTCTCTTTCTGCAAGCTGTGCTTTCTTCCTATGACGCATCTTCCTGTTTTCCTGCTGCTCAAATGTTGTGTGTTATTCTATTTTTCCTCTTATTTTTCTACTAAGCATTCTTAAAAGCTGTTTTGGGGGATGTATACCTTTCCACATTTTTTCATAGATTTCATAGATTTTCTAGGTTGGAAAAGACCTTAGAGATCATCCAGTCCAACTGTCCCTAATCCCCATTAAACCATATCCTTAAGTAGTTCATCCCCGCTTTTCTTAAACACATCCAGAGTTTTCATTCTACTCACTTCTTCTTTCTGTTGGCCATTTTATTTTTCTTTTGGAAAGTTTAGAGTACCACTATAATAAGTCCTGTTATGAAGAGCGAGTATTGTTATTCTTGGCTTTAGTTAATATCATTTATCAATGGTGGATAACCGCAAAGACAATTTGCTTCTTCTGTTCCCCATTTCTGGTTTCCGTTTCTTCCTCTAAATACATAGAATGCTGGCTATTTCTGAAAGTTTGGAATGTGAGGTTCTGTTTTATGTTACAAACCCCAAACCCTTCCAGTTGAGTGCAGTTATTGCAGCCTCACTAATCGTGGAAACTTAGTGTGCACATTTAGTAATCCGATCCTAAGTGAACAGAAACACAAAATTGAATTCACACTTTAAAAATCACGATATACGCATGAAAACCTAGTGCAGGATGATCCACAGATTTCTCAAACCAACAAAGAACAAGAGCTTATGTATGGCATCTCATCATGAGGCTGTCCTCAAAGGAACAAGGAGCAACTGCTGCTTGGCGTCCTAGTCCAGCTTTCCCTATAGAAGACAGCAGATAAGCCACTATGCCACAACAACAAGAGACAAAGGGTAGCCACAAATGATACATTTTCTGTGTGGTAGAAGATTAATTATGTGTTATATGAGCTCCTGTTTTGCTTAATGTATTTATTAATGATCTGAAAAAGAGGTTGAACACAGAAACAGCAAAATTTGGAAATAACATATGTTTGTTTTGATTAACCAGTTGTTAGGGTGTTACATGACCCTTACCAAAACAGTTGAAAATGGGCAAGCTGTCATGTGAGATTCACTTATCACAGATGTCATAATACGTGATTAGAAATATCTTTGCATCCTGCTTTCTGGTTAGGGCTATTAATCCCCACCAAAGAAAAACCAGAAATGGTCAAATGACCGAACAACAGATCAAAAGTTATTTAAATCTCAGTGATGAAGACTATTCTGTAGTCATTCAAAAGGCCATAGTGAAAAACAGGTCTTTCCACAGTCCAGTGAATGCCCAAGGAAGACCCAGCTAAGATGAACAAAGGTGATTCTCTCTTCATTTTTTTTCTAGCCTTTCTCTTCTCCTCATCATCATGCCTTTTCCTTTTCATGTTTTCTGAAAATAATAAATTCTATAGCATTTGCTTTTTCATTATCCAGTGTGCACATAGCCTTTTCCTATGCTCAGGTTTGGTGTGTGCTGTGTATAAATTGACATGGCTCTTGTGACTTCAAACAAATGGAGCTGTGCTGATTTATACTCTTTCTTTCACTAAGTCTGAATCTCTTGATCAAGACGCAGCTTGGATTGCACCGTCTGCTATATTTGTAATAGATCAAAAAAGAAATAAAACAGGACTTGACATTTTTATCTCTAGAAATGAGTTCTGCAGCTTGGCACCTGCATTTTACAATCCACTTAGCAATTCAATTTCTGTTTTGTCTTACAGTATTACTATTCTATAAAAGATATCTCTGTTGGAGGCATGTGTATATGTTCAGGCCATGCGAAGGCTTGTCCACCGGATCCAGCAACCAATGTATGTATTTTTCTTTATTTTTTTTTTTTTAATGTGCCTTATTCATTGGGTGGAACATGAGAAGAAAAATCTTGATTTTCCTCAGAGTTCTGTGAATTTGTCTGTTCTTCACTCAGAAGAACAGTCAGAAGCAGTGCCAGCGTGAAACAGTGCTGGCAACCAGAATAATAAACATTCGTACAATGTCAACGGAGGCTTTCTCTGAAATGAAAGAATAGGTTGCATGTAATTTAGTCCACATTGAAAGTGTCTTAGAAACAACAGAAATTTGGGTTACATTACGTAGCTGTAGAGGTGAACACTAGCAGTCAGTCTTTCTTTTTCGTGTTGGTATTAATCAAGGTGTTTCCTAAATGACTGTCAAGTATTTAATCGATACTTGCAAACAAATGATGGCTCTAGAATGGCGCATTTATTATGCAGGAAACATTAATTGAGTGATCAGTCAAGCTAGTCTAGAAAATCATGAGCTGTTTAGAATTTCTTCCAACTTGTAGCTTTCTTTTTACACCATTAATAAACACATAACCAATATAGTTGAAATATAGAAATATAATTTGTTACTGATGGTTCAAATCTATACACATGCACGTAGATATTATCACTGATACGAAATTTCCAATCTACTAGTATAGTATTACTAATGTGCCGCAGAGTGGGATTTCTAAATATACTTTTCACTTAAGTAGGAGCTTTGTAGGATTTAGCAGAAAATCTTGTTGGTATATGACATTAAACCATTGTGTAGATACTGATTAAGAAACCAACCAAACTGGAAGAAATCTTGCAGACAATGCACTTACAGTTCTAAGCAGTTTCCATGGATCCTTGTGAAAATTTTACAGACTCCTTGGTTTAATTCTTCTAAGCCTTTTCTGTGATGATGTGTGTAGCAAGTGTTGAACTATTGTTTCAGATGGCCTTAGTTATCAAGCTGCAGCATTGTCTCAGAGCCATCTGTTGGGGTTGGGCCTGCCTCAGAAAATACCTGCTGTTAATCCAATGAATATGTGCTTCAGTTCAGATAGTTTGGCTAGTAGATAAAATAAAGGCATTTTGACAAATGTGGTATCTTGTTTTGTGGGATGGCAAATATGTATTTGTTGTCTAATCAGAATAAAAAATAGCATAAGTGAAACAACTGAAGCCATAAGAGATTTGGATTATTTGGTTTAGCTCTCCAGGGATACTCTTTAGTCTGAGCCTTATGAAAATAGGTGGGCTTTGGGTTATAAACATCATGACTCTAGTTTGCACAATGAACCTTTCCCCTAGTATTACGAAGAATAAACTTGCTTGAATTTACTGCTTTTTTTGTCTGCAGTGTTATTTAACTTAACCTTGTTTTTCAAGATTTATGCTTTGTCCTGTGAGCCACTGAATTTCTCCAGGTTAGCTTGCTGCTTTGACCTTGAGTGGCTTCACAAGGACCACAGATAATCCCCTCCACTGAATAACTATTGGGAAGGCAAGTTTTGCTCCTCGGTTATCCAAACTACCATTTCTTCTGTCTTTAACAAGCTACGCCTGTGGCTCAGAGAATTTGGGTGTTCCCTACAGCAATATTTTCATGCTGGGACTAAGCTGGAAATAAGGTGTTCTGCTGAGGAACTGAAAAGCCACTGAAAGGGTGGTCCTGCTGGCATCTGTTAGTTTATAAACTTCTGCTATCCCTCTTGTAGAATTAGTTATGCAGTAAGAAGGTTACGTGATGAGTTGAATCATCCAGTAAAAAGTTAATGCTCAAGTTAAAAGATAATTTTTAATGGATCAACCAGCAGAATTGATTTTGCTCTACAGCTGCAGGATTGCTACATCCAAGAGAAGGGGAGAGATTGGCTCACTCCTTCTAGCATAAACTAGCTAGCACATCAGTTTTCCTGTAATGTGAAACTGTATCAGAGGGCTACCAGCATTTTGACTTATTTGTTGTAATGGGGAACTTTCATTCTCCCATCCTCCTTTCTTCAGCCAGTTGGAATTAGATTCTCCTATGTTAGATTCTCCTTAGGTTCTTTGGCCGACTATCTTCCTTTGCACCATGGCTGTTTTCTTAAAATAGAGCTATAGAAGTTAAACACACTCTTTGTCTCTCACTTACTTGGTGAGTGCAGGGTCCGTAAATGACTAAAAATGGATAAACAGAGGAATTACAGAGTGTAGCCATTCTTAATTTTAATGTTTTCCTAATTTGAACTGGAATGCAGATTATGTACATGGACAGATTCTTCCAATCATCACATTGTGTAAATATTTGTCTTTCTTTTAAATTAGAAATCCGTCTGTCAGTGTGAGCACAACACATGTGGAGAGACATGTGATCGGTGTTGTCCCGGTTTCAATCAAAAGCCTTGGCACGCTGGCACTTTCCTGGTTAAGCACGAATGTGAACGTAAGTTGAAAGTGGTACAGAAGAGAAGGTTTATTGCAACTGCTAGTGAAAACTGAAATCCGGTCCTACATGATTTTGTAATTGATTTTTTTTTTCTAATGACATTTGTTTATGAATCAGTTGTTCACTTACTTAGGCTGGCTCAAAAAATTTAACAGAATAACTAAATGTAGAATTGGGGTTTCATTCAGCTGAGAATATTTTAGTGTAACGAGATGATATTGGTAGAATACTGCATAAAAAATCATTTTGACTTGTTTAATTTTTATTATTGTAGTGGATTTTTTTTGGTAAAGTAAACAGGACTGTATCCTGAGAAGTAAAAAATCTTTTTTTACAGATTTTTCATTATATTAAAGTTTAACTGCTTGATTTCTGTATAAATGACACTTTTATGTATTATAATGTTCAGCCTGCTGAAACAAAATATTTTCACATGATCAAAATGCAATTTGAGTTTCTGATGTTTTTAATGGAAAAATCAATGTATCTAGTTTTCCAACATGGAATGAAACATACCTTGAAATATCACCTTCCCACAGGGTGGGAATTTCATTTTCATATTTACTGTAGTAAGATAGTTATAACTGAACTTTAACATCTTGCTTCCAAAGGTCACATACCACTTGCATTTCTGAACATAATAAAATCTAGTGCTCCATTACATGGAAGTGTTTATTCAATTGTAGAATTGCCTCTACAGTTTTACCATGAGTGCATAAAAATAAATATAAAGAAACAGGTATCCCTATATTAAAAGTAGTAATTGCGTATTTGTGTCCTGTAAACTTTGGTCACAGAGGTCTTTGTTTTGGTAGGGACTGTGTCTAAACTGGGAATGCATTCTGCAATGGTTATCAGGCTGCATTTATTTTCATATTTAATTTTTGAGACACTTCTTATGCCTTGTTCAACCCTCGGTGAATTGTACTTTTATGGTGGAAACAGATCCCTGGAATCTGTTTCAGATGTGAATTGTAATGCTGATGAAATTAAAATTTTTCTTTATATTTAAAATAAAATTTGGATGTTTTAATACTACAGGGGAAGGCAGAGAGTGAGCCACCTCACTTTCACAGCAACAGATTATTAAAGTAACTCTCCTGTATGTGGAACTGAAGCCTAAGCATTCAAATCTGAACTTCTCAAGAAGTTTTAAGATTGGGAATCTCTTTGTTTTGACCCAGTCCTTATATGGTCATATGTGGAACATTTTAGGATGTCTTTTATCTTTCATGGAAAATATTTTAATTTACTCATACCATTCTGCTGCTTCCTCTAGTATTTTAAATTAGCTCTTTCCTAAACCATATGTGTGGTCAACCACCGAAAGGTTTCTGGACTATCACTTTCAACAGACAAAAAAACAAACCAAACCAAAACAAGAAGAACATAATTAGACTATACCTGTCTGCTTCCATGCTTCTCCAGATGAAACATTGAGAACAAAATACAATATACAGAATTCCAGGCTGCGTTTGTGACTGAGCCACATTACGTTTTACAGCTGAAGTAATAAATTAGTGCTTGGATATGCTGTGAGTTACAGTGTGAGCAGCACCAATGATAAAATGTTGAACAACTGTTTCTAATAGAATCATAGAATCATAGAATGGTTAGGGTTGGAAGGGACCTCAAAGATCATACCTTAGTAACAGTGTGGCCTCTCTATCCAGAAAGTGTTCCCTAACTAAGTTCCTTCTCTTATAGCATGCAACTGTCATGGGAAGACCGAGGAGTGTTACTATGATCAGGATGTCGCAGACAGAAATCAGAGTTTGAATGTCCATGGAGAATACATCGGGGGTGGAGTGTGTGTGAATTGTACAAGCCACACCAGTGGCATAAACTGCGAGACCTGCATCGACGGTTACTTCAGACCTAAAGGGGTAAATGCGGGTCCTGCTGTCCCTTCATTGTATTGCGCGGAGTTCAAACCGTCGCTTCAACATGGGGAGTTATTAAAAAGAGATGCTGCAATTTGGACTGCCGTTTTGTGAAGGTTAACTTCTAATTCTGACACTGCAGTAGTTGCCTTTCCCAGCTGGAAATCCGTAAAGTTAACGCTTACAGAAATATGAAAGTGCATTGTGTTGATAGGAAGGAATGCACTTGAGGTCAGGGCCTCCAGCTAGTGTTTCAGTTTAATTTAAAGGAGGATGTGGTTCTGTAAACAAAACTTTTGCCTCAGTAATGAATTCCAAGATTTGTTATCAAAGATGAAAGAAATATTGCTACATTTGATATTGGAGAAAGAGAGTCTGTAATTTTTATTTTTAAAATGTAATGTAGAATTAATAACTACTGAAATTCTATAATGGCCCACGAATGCCTTTCATTTTTAGTAGAGTGGGAATGTTTTTGTTTGTTTGTTTCATCATATAAGGCTGTATTTTCATCTAAGTTGTAGCTGTCAGAAGATGTATCTTATATTAAGTATTGGCAGCATGGGCTGTGCCTGAGCTTCAGATAACTGTGCTGTTAGTGTGTGCTTAAATCCATGGGATTTTATACGTATAGTTTCAGTTAGGTAAATCGTGGCCTTCAGCCTCATTGGTGTTCAAACCTCAAACACAGGAAAACAGGAACAAATAACAATAATTACAATCATCTCCCTAGTATACTGGTTTTAGCCTTAGAGCTTGAGAAAAGGAGTACTGGTCTCTTTAACGGAAAGGCAATTACCTGTTATTTTCCTCTGAATCAGGTTATCATCCAACTGATAGGGATGTTCTGTATATGCTTACGTAAAGTGTATCTATAGTATGTATATATATTTAGTTTATGCAGAACTTCAAATTTATATTCCCAGTGTGATACTAGACTAAGGTTTAAGTTTGATCGAGGTAACTTTTTCAAGAATGAAACAAATTGTTTCATTGTCTAATGTTAACTTTTCTTCACTGACCCTTTTTGTTCAGTTACTGACTAACTAACTTTAGTTATTTTTTTGAATCATGTTGACCATGATTTGGTCATGAGTAGTTCAGCCATGGCCATGTTGAACTGTTTGTCAATATTACTTTAGATAGTAAAATCTACTTCATTGCATTTATTGATTTCAGTTATACAAGTGTCTGTTATAATCTCTACATGTTTTTTTTAGTTGAAAACTTATTTATATCTAAATCACTTAACATGTTTCTAAGTAAAATCTAAAATGTAACTTTAATACCTAGACTGCATGCATTAACTTTGGCAGCAATCTCATTTTTGTTAAAGTGCAAGCTACCTAGACAGAATGTAGCTCTCTCCTATGTTTTGTTTAAGAAGTAAATAAAAGTTTGCAATTATTGAAGGTAAGATTTTGTTTTGTAATCTCTCTGTTTTCATAGGTATTGCCAGATAGCCCTGATCCATGCCAGCCATGTTCTTGTGATCCAAATGGGTCTTTACATGAAACCTGTGTCAAAGATGAGAAACATGCAGAAGGAGGTAAAATCCCTAAAAGATAATAATATTAAAGCTTAAGTTCAGCAGTGGTCAAAGAAAAGCTGAATCATATTTGTCCTTCCCTGTACTCTCTCTTAAAAAATAAAAAAACAGCAGTTTTTTTAAAGTTTACTTATGCAAACAATAATCCACCTACATTCTTACAATACTTTTGTTTGGAAACTCAGGTTTTATATTCTTAAATTTGCTGAGGCTTCTTTCAGATTCATGGCTTGCAAACTTGTGTATGTTCGGAATAGTGTGCTCCATGGAACATGTTGGAGAATTTTGTGCTTTAAAGAGCTTTCTTCTTTTACTGCGGAGATGAAAACTAGTTCAACCATAATCGTAGACTCATAAAATCATTTAGGTTGGAAAAGACCTTTAAAATCATCGAGTCCAGCCATGAACCTGTTTTAATCTCTTTTATTCTCTAAGCATAGTTCCATTTGAAACCTAGGAAAAAATCTTTGAAAGGTGTCATATTTACATGCCATCTGTATTATTAATGTAGGATTACAAGCTGTTTACCATAGCCCTATAAAAGCTGCCTTCAAATAGAGAATAAACTGCTGCCTTGTGCTTTGGAAACAATGGATTGCCATATTATTCCTGTTCTTTTTTTGACAAACTACTGAAAATACTGTAGGAAGACAACAAAACTCAAGGCCAATTCTTAAGAGATATTTTAATCGGGCTGATTACAATCTATTGGCAAGAGATGTTGTAGCAATCTTTTTTTAAATAGAGATCAATGGAACATAAAAACAGGAGAGCAGAGATGTAAATACAGGGCTCAGATGTGTAAAATCTAATATAACAAAAATATACTGATTACATCCGTTCAATAAAATGACGCAATGATACAGCCAGATTCCTGTCACGTGGTATGTACGGTGGGTTGACCTTGGCTGACTCTGGCTGCCCACCCAGACCTCTCTCACTGCCCTTCTCAGCAGAATAGAGGGAGAAAGTAAGATGAAGCAGCTAATAGATCAGGATAAAGAAGAGGAGATTGCTTACCAATTACTTCATGAAGTTCAACAAGGCCAAGTGCAAGGTCCTACATGTGGGTCGGGGCAATCCCAAACACAAGTACAGGCTGGGTGGAGAATGGATTGAGAGCAGTCCTGAGGAAAAGGACTTGGGAGTGCAGGTGGATGAGAAGCTCAACATGAGCCAGCAATGTGCGCTGGCAGCTCAGAAAGCCAACCATATCTTGGGCTGTATCAGAAGAAGTGTGGCCAGCCGGTCGAGGAAGTGATTCTGCCCCTCTACTCTGCTCTCGTGAGACCCCACCTGGAATACTGTGTTCAGCTCTGGAGTCCTCAGCGCAGGAAAGACAGGGACCTGTTGGAAGGGGTCCAGAGGAGGGCTGCAAATATGATCCAAGGGCTGGAGCACCTCTCCTGTGAGGAAAGGCTGAGAGAGTTGGGGTTGTTCAGCCTGGAGAAGAGAAGGCTCTGGGGAGACCTTACTGCAGCCTTTCAGTACTTAAAGGGGGCTTTTAAGAAAGATGGAGACAGACTTCTTAGTAGGGCTTGTTGCGATAGGACAAGGGGTAAACTTAAAGAGGGTAGACTCAGACTAGATATAAGGAAGAATTTTTTTACAGTGAGGGTGAAAAACTGCAAAAAGTTGCCCAGAGAAGTGGTAGAAGCTCTGTACCTGGAAATATTCAAGGTCAGGTTGGACAGGGCTCTGAGCAACCTGATCTAGTTGAAGATGTCCTCCTGCTCATTGCAAGGGGTTGGACTCGGTGACCTTTAAGGGTCCCTTCCAACCTAAACCATTCTATGATACCATGAAAATTAATTAAACGTATTGCCAATTTAAATAAAATCAGATAATTACAAGCACAAACAAAAATTAAAACAACACCTCACTCCGGGCCTCTCCCTCCATTTTTTCCAGGCTCAACTTCACTCCTTCATTCCCAACTCCTCTACCTCCTCCCCACCACCACAAGTGGTGCAGAGGGATGGGGAATGGGGGTTGTGGTCATAATGGTTCCTCTCTGCTGCTCCTTTCTCACACTTTTCCCTAGCTCCAGCATGAGCCCTTCCCACAGGCTGCCATCCTTTAGGAGAAAAATCTTCTCCACCATGGGTTCTCCGTGGGACGTAGTTCCTTCAGGAAATGTCCACCTGTTCCTTCATGGTGTCCTCCATGGGCAGCAGTGTGGATATCTGCTCCAGCATGGTCCACTCCAGGGGCTAGAGGAGAATCTGCTCCACTGCAAGGAGTACCTCCTCCCACTCCTTCTCTGACCTTCTCCAACCTGTCTGGCCAAGGGGCTCAGCCATGCCCTGCAGTGGGTCTGTTGGAGCTGTCTGGACCTGCCTGTGTCTGGCACAGGGCAGCCCCGACCTCTCCTCTCCACCCTGCAGCACCCTCCACCAGTGCCTGGGCATGGACACCCGGTACAGTACATAATGTGGGTTGATAGGAAACACAGTAGAAGTGAGGATGAATCCCAAAGCTGGAGAAAAAACACAGCAAGTCCGTGTGATGCTTGTACCAAAGCTGTGGGTGAGAGTGAGCAGGTTACAGATGACAAACTTAATCCAACAGAGAAACCTCTCATACTATTAAACAGGATAACTTCTATTTAAACGTTTGCCACTACTGACATTCAGTTCTTTTGTGAAATACTGACTACAGTTTCGAGATGGAAGGATGATTACTTCATGTGGCAGGAAGAGAATACCTAGCAGAACTAGAACCCTGGACTTCAGTAGGGCCAACTTTGATCTTTTCAAACAATTGCTAGGAGAAATCCCATGGGACAGAGTACTAGAAGGTATAGGGGCCCAAGATAGTTGGTTAGCCTTCAAGGACCTCTTTTTCTGAGCTCAGACCGGTGCATTCCAACAGGTAGGAAGTCAAGAAAGGGCACCAAGAGACCTGCATGGTTAAATGGGGAACTGTTGGGCAAACTCAAGTGGAAAAAGAGAGCGTACAGATCTTGGAAGGAGGGGCAGGCCACTTGGGAGGAATATAGGTCTGCTGTCAGAGGATGTAGGGAGGCAACTAGGAAAGCTAAGACCTCCTTGGAATTAAACCTTGCAAGAAAGGTCAAGGACAACAGAAAGGGCTTCTTCAAATACATTGCAGATAAAACTAACACTAGAGGCAATGTAGGCCCACTGGTGAATGAGGAGGGTGCCCTGGTGACAGAGGATAAGAAGAAGGCAGAGTTACTGAATGCCTTCTTTGCCTCAGTCTGTACTGGTGGAGGCTATCCTGATGAGCTCCGGAACCCTGAGGCTCCTGAGGAAGTTAGGATAGAGGAGGAGTCTACCCTGGTTGATGAGGACTTGGTTAGGGACCAGTTAAGCAACCTGGCCATCCATAAGTCCATGGGTCCTGATG